ATTTTATGTGTATTATAATGTATGTACACACACAATGAAATATTAAATATTATTCTATTACAAACATATTAATGAATTAATGATATATGCAATATTAAAATTATATTTTAGGTTATTGTGTATATATACATTATAATACATATAAAATAAAATTATAATTCATATTTACTAATAATGTTTCTTTATATATGTTATAATAATGTTAGAAAGATAAATATTATAATTGTGCGATATGAATACATACATTATACAATGTATGTACATAAAATTCTAATATTGCGTATAAATAGATAATATCTACATGATTACTTCAACATGAGTAACTTTTATCTGTTATAATGCGTGCATGTGTGTGTATGCGTGCGTGCGTGCAGCGTGCGTGCGTGTGTGCATGTGTGTGTGCGTGGGTGCATGCGTGCGTACGCGTAACTATTAGTTAAAAATCTGTACTTTATGTATATTACAAATTTTTAGTACTGGTGGTATATATTGGAACGCGGCCTACATTGCATGTGTATATAATACAATTGTATTTCTAAGGCCCGATTCTACAAATATAAGATTAACTTCAATTCCGGTTTATTTTTTTCTGAATTCTAAAATTGGACAATTTTCCAAAATAAAATGAATTTTACATTTGTGGAACCAACTCTAAAACATTTTATTTTCGTCCCTGCTAAGATAGTAATGTAGGAAACGGAATAAAAATATCGATAATTAATCGATCGAATTTTCTGCATGATTATATTAAAATTAAGCTCAGAGGGCGTAAGCATTTTATATATTGGAAATGAAAACCTGTAATATCGACCTTGATTGACCTTCAGCCTTCGCTCCAGCATCCTCTTAAAATTGTTTCTTGTATTGATTGGAATTGAAAATATATAATATGGATCATAATTCATATTATTTTGACACACATTATCAATATGATAAATAAAAATGATTGTTTACTTATTTTTAATTTTATTTCTACAGCTATGTAAAAACTAGGTACATAGCTTCCAATATTGCATAAAAATTTTGATTTTGTTATTGTTAACTAAAATTATGAGATAAAAATATATTTAATAGAAAATATATTTTTTAAATATCTACTTCTAGATATATTTTAACTTTTTATTCATATCTTAACCTCTTAGCGTAATTTCACGTACTCGGTAATCAGAACAATTTTTTTTTTCTTTTTTAGATTAAGATAAAACTTCATGCACAAACTTCGAGCACAAACGCCATGCGTTGGCACTCGTTATCCGCTATACGTTAAGCCAGTTTTGTATTAGTTGCAAGCTGATTTAGTTGAATTGTCGCAAATTTGTTGCGACAGCAAATATGAAGCGTTGATTTCAAAATGCAAGCTTCAGATTGGCTGTCGCAACAAACTTGCGATCAGCTTGTAACTAATGTAGAACCGGTTTTATGCGTCATGCGTCATATAAAAGTGTGTGCTGCGGCCTTTACATTACTCGCGTGATTTTTTTTTTTAATTTGATTATTCCTATGTGATATATTTCTGACACTCCAACATTATGATCCGTATTCAAAACGCGCTTTTATCGATAAAGCATGCTTTTATCTCTAAGGCCGGTATTCATAGTCAAATCTTATCAAGATCATCTTAAGAAGTCACGAATTAATCAGAAGGCTGCATTAGCGTCTTAAGACATTACTTAATGGTTTACAATGGGCAGTAATGGATTAAGGAGTAGAAATCGAGCAATCATAATTAAATATGAGAAAAATAATCTATGATTGATCTCATAAGAGGATTTTGAAATAAGACTATGAATACTGGCCTAAAATTCTACTATGGATAACGTAAATTATAGCATGTTAACGCGCTATTATCGTTGTAAGCGCGTTCTGAATACGGGCCTAAGCCCGCCTTTTACGCCTTAAATCACATTGTAGATGCCGCTTTAGACGCCTTGAAATGAGAGCGGATTATGAATATTGATCATAATTTTTTAAAATTTTATATAACGGCGTTTCCAACGTTAAATCTGTCTGAATAGACCTTTATTGGCTCTAAAATGTCTAGATAAAACCATAAAACGCATCGTTTTTAATGCGGGACACTTGTCGGGATACTTTATTTTCGTTGTTTCTTTTGACACACATATTGGTTGTGTTCCAAAATTCATTATCAGTGAAGAAAATATATAATACACGCAACGTAGACTGTAGATTTTTAGCGCAATGAATTTTGGAACACAACTATTATGGGAGCTTTCCAGCAAAAGATAATATAAATTGGCTGCGTTCAGCGGACTCAACAATTGAGCGATCGTTGCTATTGATATTTTCCCAGATCTAAAATACTGATTGGATGATCCAAAAGAATACACCATGTTAGAACATACGACGCGAACAAACCTTAGAGGTTTGTTCGCATCGCATGCTCCAATATGCTCCTGTTAGCTCTTTGTCTAATGCCCTTATTAGAGTGAGTAGGAATTATGGCAGGAGCATGACGCAACAAACTTAGGCCTCTAGTTCCAACATGCTCCTGCTATATATAGTTCCTACTCACTTTAATGAGTGCATTGGAGTGAATAGGAACTGTGATAAGAGTATATTGAAGCATGTTGGAACATGCGACGTGAACGAATCTATAGACTAAATAGACAATTTACATATATCACAAAGTGCGTTCGGGGAGATGTGTAGTACTATTTATATTATTCTATCCTATATTGTTTTATGTAAACAAAGAGAATAACACAAATAGCGCTAATAACGTCGTCTAATATCTCTCTGAACACGCTTACGATATCATGTTTATCACAGTGACAGAAATCGCTTAACAACAAAAGTTGACACTCATTATGTATAGATTTTCTCGACAGCTGTGTCAAGCTTTCATATTATCAAGTTGTTCTCGCAGAAATCGACACGTATTGACGAGTTGTCGACAATTTTTGGAAAATACCTTTAATCGTCCGAGTACAGACAATCGTACGCATATAATTTTTTTTATTTTTGTGATAAAAATGAGAGATTTAGAAAAATCACAATAATAATTTGTATAAAGGACTCCAAACTAATGGAAAAAATGGTCAAATCGATTGGAAGTGTAATATTTTATAGACTCCCTGGTGAAATGTTTTTTAAAAAAATGTGTAATTTTCAATTGTGTAAATTAAAAAAGAAACTATATATTTTCTTTATATCAATTCATTCATCTCATTATCTATGCATAAAAGTATTAAGACATAGTTATTAAAAAAATAGTTCAATAATAAATAAATAGTAAATAAAAATATTTTTCAATTTTATTGGATTAAAAGTAGCAATTTTTAAATGTGCTATACAAACTACTAACAAAAATTGGTCATTTTTTAATTTTGCTTGATAAAACTTAATTTGATTAGAATATTCCCAAAACTTTAAAATATTCCAGCGATTTGACCAAAGCCATTATTTTTTCAATATTATTAATACAGAATCTTTTTTCAGAATTCTTTTTCCTTTTGTGTTTTATTTATTATTGTATTGAAAGTGATTGCTGAAATTCATTAATGAAATAGAAAATTTTTATGTTAAATATTGGAAATATATCTCGTCAGTGTGTTTGTAACCTATGACTTTCTTTTCAGCGACAAGGATTTTATATTCTTCAAGTATACCATATCAGGAAAAGAATATTGAAGTTCTGTGCAAAAACGGAATGGCAATAAAAGAAGAATTTATAATTTATTATGAAGACTTACTGCGAGAATTAGAGAAGGAGAAGCCAGATTTTTTGCTCTTTGATGTTAGAGAATCTGAAGAAATTGAATCTTATAGCCAAACACCAAAAATCATTAATATAAAAGGTACAAATCTTTCATTGTATGTATAAATTTTGGAAAGTTTACTGTTCATTTCTCCAACCTCACAGTAATGATGTTGTATAATTAGAAGAATAATATATAACATAAGAATAATCTATAACAGTAAGTAATTATACATTTGTTTCAGAGGATGATGTCGTTAATGAACTCATAAACCTTGAAGACAAAAATTTCCAAAAAAAATATGGGATATCTAAACCAGATCAACACACAAAAATGATATTTAGTTGTTACTCTGGTAAAAGAGCTGAGAATGTGGTAAAAAAGATGAATGAAAAAGGATACACACAGTATGACAATATCTTTTAGAATTATTAGTAGGGATTTATTATAATGGAATTTTGTATTGTTTTGCAGGGTATATTTATATAGGGGAGGTTTCAAAGCGTGGCATGATAAACAAAACTCGAAAAGACAAACTTTCATAATCAAATATGATCAGTTATTGAAAAATCAAAAGAAATCTGATGTTCTGATCATCGATGTTAGAGAACCTGAAGAGTTAGCTGAAACTGGCAAAATACCAGAAAGTATTAATATAAGATGTAAGAATCTTTTGTTGTATTTCTAAATGTTGAAACTTTACTATTAATTTCTCAAATGTCATAATGTGGTATAATTATCGTATAAATAATACATAATATACATTTGTTACAGCGAGTGATGTTGTTAAAGAATTCAAAGAACTTTCGGAGGAGGCTTTTGAGGAAAAATACAATAAATCCAAGCCGACTGAAGACACAAAGATCATATTTAGTTGTCACTCTGGCAAGAGATCCGAACGTGTTCAAAAACAGATGCAGGAATTGGGATACAAACAGTATGACAATATCTTTCAGAATCACTAGTAGAAATTTATAATAGAGCTCTATATTGTTTTGCAGGGTATTTAATTTTGAAGGAGGTTGGGAGGAGTGGAAACGAAGAGAAGAAAAAAAGAAAAAATAAAAGAAGAACGATAATGGAATATAAAAGAGGAATTAGAATATTTTCATTATTGCACTGATTTTTAACACACACACACACACACACACACACACACACACATACACAC